CGAAACCTCAGTCCGGCTCAGAGACGGACTATAGCGAGTCGGGTCACTAGGTCGAGTGGTAGTACAGCCAATCGAAACCGGTGGCCGTGGCAACTGACATCCGCCTGATAGCCTCAAAACGCAAGATTCTTTCTAACCCTGCACCATACCAAAGCTTATCGTGACCCAATCTAGTCGAGAATGCGAAGCCCGGGAGCAACGTTGTAGAAAGGAACGGGAAGCGGGATAAAGAAAGTTGGTAGGTCAAAGAGCGAACGAGCGATAGAGAGAGAGAGAGAGAGAGAGTTGGATAGAGAATGCTTGCGCAGACTGAGCCTCCAGTCCAGATCCAGTTGGGCTGAATTCGGCCATCTTGAACTCAGGCATAGATGAGCTCAACACTACTGAGATGGGATAGTCCTATTCGACGACGTCTCAATGTTCTGCTCTGTCTCCCTTCCGTCTGATTGGCCGAACGAGGCAGCAGAGTACGGGCAAACGGGCACTGAGGCCGAGACAACCTAGGCCCAACAACCGACCGACCGACCGGCCGACAGACCGTCTTTGCGACGGCAAGGCAGGGAGGAGCCGGAGGAGACCGGCAGGGGGCAACAGGGACTCACCGACCAACAACATATACGCCCAGTTATGCATACGTGTACACACACAAAGACATGTGGATGTCTGTGGGACTGGATCTCAGTGGTCTGCACTTGACGCGAGCTGGCCAGTGTGTACACGGACGAGCCGACCTCACATTGATCTCTAGGCTCCAAATCCCGATCTAACTGGGCCTCAAGTGGGCCTCCAGACTTGCAGGCGATCCTTCGCACCGAACGAAGCTGCACACAAATCCCTATGGCCAGCTTCATTGCGAAACAGCTGATCGGCAATCAGCTTGAGTCCGTTAAAGGTGAGTTCGCTGAGCCGATTCCTTGTCTCATCCATTTGCTTTCTCATTTCATAAATCTGCCTCTACTCCTACCACCAGTCATCAGGCATCCCGAAGCTGTATTCGAAACTGCCGGTAGAGCTTGCATTTGAGCTGTATCGCCCATAGGGTGATGAAGGACTGATCGTTGAAGTTGCCCACAATGCTATGACTAGGTCTCACGAATACCTTGCATGGAGTAAGACTCGTGTAACCTATGCATATGATGAAGCTCTTATTCTGAACTGTCACGGTTCGACTCCCGCTGGGGATGTTGATAAGACCTATGCGGGGTCGAAACTGTAGTTCATTGGTGGCTGGATGAGAGCAGCTTTTGGGAAAGCAAGGCTATGTGAAATTCAAGGGAAACTTCAGCTCAACTCATATCATTGTGGGAAAAT